CGTGCTTGGGCGAGAGTAGTACTAGGATGGGTGACCCCCTGGGAAGTCCTCGTAGGGCAACAGAACGGTAGCGGAAGGGGTTTATAGGGAAATGGAGGCGAGAATATGTCGGGAGAGATCATACCAACACTAATGCTCCGGATCTCATCAGAACTCCGCAGTTAAGCGTGCTTGGGCGAGAGTAGTACTAGGATGGGTGACCCCTTGGGAAGTCCTCGTGTTGCACCCCTTTTTAGTCCGGTTTTGTATTTTTAATTTTAATTTAATTTTATTAATATGTATTTATTTATTTCCCGGCAAATACGTCGGAAGGGCAATAGAACGGTAGCGGAAGGGGTTTATAGGGAAATGGAGGCGAGAATATGTCGAGTGCGATCATACCAGCACTAGTGCACCGGATCCCATCAGAACTCCGCAGTTAAGCGTGCTTGGGCGAGAGTAGTACAAGGATGGGTGACCCCCTGAGAAGTCCTCGTGTCGCACCCCTTTTTAGTCCGGTTTTGTATTTTTAATTTTAATTTTATTAATAAGTATTTATTTATTTCCCGGCGAATGCGTCGGAAGGGCAATAGAACGGTAGCGGAAGAGGTTTATAGGGAAATGGAGGCGAGAATATGTCGGGTGCGATCATACCAGCACTAATGCACCGGATCCCATCAGAACTCCGCAGTTAAGCGTGCTTGGGCGAGAGTAGTACTAGGATGGGTGACCCCCTTCGAAGTCCTCGTGTTGCACCCCTTTTTAGTCCGTTTTTTTATTTTTAATTTTAATTTTAATTTTATTAATATGTATTTATTTATTTCCCGGCGAATGCGTCGGAAGGGCAATTGAACGGTAGCGGAAGGGGTTTATAAGGAAATGGAGGCGAGAATATGTCGGGTGCGATCTTACCAGCACTAATGCTCCGGATCCCATCAGAACTCCGCAGTTAAGCGTGCTTGGGCGAGAGTAGTACTAGGATGGGTGACCCCCTGAGAAGTCCTCGTGTCGCACCCCTTTTTAGTCCGGTTTTGTATTTTTAATTTTAATTTTATTAATAAGTATTTATTTATTTCCCGGCGAATGCGTCGGAAGGGCAATAGAATGGTAGCGGAAGGGGTTTATAGGGAAATGGAGGCGAGAATTTGTCGGGTGCGATCATACCAGCATTAATGCACCGGATCCCATCAGAACTCCGCAGTTAAGCGTGCTTGGGCGAGAGTAGTACAAGGATGGGTGACCCCCTGCGAAGTCATCGAGTTGCACCCCTTTTTAGTCCGGTTTTGTATTTTTAATTTTAATCTTAATGTTATTAATATTTATTTATTTATTTCCCGGCGAATGCGTCGGAAGGGCAATGGAACGGTAGCGGAAGGGGTTTATAGGGAAATGGAGGCGAAAATATGTCGGGTGCGATCATACCAGTACTAATGCATCGGATCCCATCAGAACTCCGCAGTTAAGCGTGCTTGGGCGAGAGTAGTACTAGGATGGGTGACCCCCTTCGAAGTCCTCGTGTTGGACCCCTTTTTAGTCCGGTTTTTTTATTATTAATTTTAATTTTAATTTTATTAATATGTATTTATTTATTTCCCGGCGATTGCGTCGGATGGGCAATTGAACGGTAGCGGAAGGGGTTTATAGGGAAATGGAGGCGAGAATATGTCGGGTGCGATCTTACCAGCACTAATGCACCGGATCCCATCAGAATTCCGCAGTTAAGCGTGCTTGGGTGAGAGTAGTTCTAGGATGGGTGACCCCTTGGGAAGTCCTCGTATTGCTCCCCTTTTTAGTCCGATTTTGTATTTTTAATTTTAATTTAAATTTTATTAATATGTATTTATTTATTTCCCGGCAAATACGTCGGAAGGGTAATAGAACGGTAGCGGAAGGGGTTTATAGGGAAATGGAGGCGAGAATATGTCGAGTGCGATCATACCAGCACTAGTGCACCGGATCCCATCAGAACTCCGCAGTTAAGCGTGCTTGGGCGAGAGTAGTACCAGGATGGGTGACCCCCTGGGATGTGCCCGTGTTGCACCCCTTTTTAGTCCGGTTTTGTATTTTTAAATTTAATTTTAATTTTAATTTTATTAATATGTATTTATTTATTTTCCGGCGAATGCGTCGGAAGGGCAATAGAACGGTAGCGGAAGGGGTTTATAGGGAAATGGAGGCGAGAATATGTCGGGTGCGTTCATACCAGCACTAATGCACCGGATCCCATCAGAACTCCGCAGTTAAGCGAGCTTGGGCGAGAGTAGTACTAAGATGGGTGACCCCCTGGGAAGTCCTCGTGTTGCACCCCTTTTTAGTCCGGCTTTGTATTTTTAATTTTATTAATATGTATTTATTTATTTCTCGGCGAATGCTTCGGAAGGGCAATAGAACGGTAGCGGAAGGGGTTTATAGGGAAATGGAGGCGAGAATATGTCGGGTGCGATCATACCAGCACTAATGCACCGGATCCCATCAGAACTCCGCAGTTAAGCGTGCTTGGGCGAGAGTAGTACTAGGATTGGTGACCCCCTGGGAAGTCCTCGTGTTGCACCCCTTTTTAGTCCGGTTTTGTATTTTTAATTTTAATTTTAATTTTATTTATATGTATTTATTTATTTCCCGGCGAATGCGTCGGAAGGGCAACAGAACGGTAGCGGAAGGGGTTTATAGGGAAATGGGGGCGAGAATATGTCGGGTGCGATCATACCTGCACTAATGCACTGGATCCCATCAGAACTCTGCAGTTAAGCGTGCTTGGGCGAGAGAAGTACTAGGATGGTGACCCTATGGGAAGTCCTCGTGTTGCACCCCTCTTTAGTCCGGTTTTGTATTTTTAATTTTAATTTTAATTTTACTAATATGTATTTATTTATTTCCCGGCGAATGCGTCGGAAGGGCAATAGAACGGTAGCGGAAGTGGTTTATAGGGAAATGGTGGCGAGAATATGTCGGGTGCGATCATACCAGCACTAATGCACCGGATCCAATCAGAACTCCGCAGTTAAGCGTGCTTGGGGGAGAGTAGTAGTAGGATGGGTGACCCCCAGGGAAGTCCTCGTGTTGCACCCCTTTTTAGTCCGGTTTTGTATTTTAAATTTTAATTTTAATTTTATTAATATATATTTATTTATTTCCCGGCGAATGCGTCGTAAGGGCAACAGAACGGTAGCGGAAGGGGTTTATAGGGAAATGGAGGCGAGAATATGTCGGGTGCGATCATACCAGCACTAATGCTCCAGATCCCATCAGAACTCCGCAGTTAAGAGTGCTTGGGCGAGAGTAGTACTAGGATGGGTGACCCCTTGGGAAGTCCTCGTGTTGCACCTCTTTTTAGTCCGGTTTTGTATTTTTAATTTTAATTTTAATTTTATTAATATGTTTTTCTTTATTTCCCGGCGAATGCGTCGGAAGGGCAATAGAACGGTAGCGGATGGGGTTTATAGGGAAATGGAGGCGAGAATTTATCGGGTGCGATCATACTAGCACTAGTGCACCGGATCCAATCAGAACTCCGCAGTTAAGCGTGCTTGGGAGAGAGTAGTACTAGGATGGGTGACCCCCTGGGAAGTCCTCGTGTTGCACCACTTTTTAGTCCGGTTTTGTATTTTTAATTTTAATTTTAATTTTATTAATATGTATTTTTTTATTTCCCGGCGAATGCGTCACAAGGGCAATAGAACGGTAGCGGAAGGGGTTTATAGGGAAATGGAGGCGAAAATTTGTTGGGTGCGATTATATCAGCACTAATGCACCGGATCCCATCAGAACTCCGCAGTTAAGCGTGCTTGGGCGAGAGTAGTACTAGGACGGGTGAGCCCCTGGGAAGTCGTCGTGTTGCACCCCTTTTTAGTCCGGTTTTTTTATTTTTAATTTTAATTTTAATTTTATTAATATGTATTTATTTATTTCCCGGCGAATGCGTCGGAAGGGCAATTGAACGGTAGCGGAAGGGGTTTATAGGGAAATGGAGGCGAGAATATGTCGGGTGCGATCTTACCAGCACTAATGCTCCGGATCCCATCAGAACTCCGCAGTTAAGCGTGCTTGGGTGAGAGTAGTTCTAGGATGGCTGACCCCTAGGGAAGTCCTCGTATTGCACCCCTTTTTAGTCCGGTTTTGTATTTTTAATTTTAATTTAAATTTTATTAATATGTATTTATTTATTTCCCGGCAAACACGTCGGAAGGGCAATCGAACGGTAGCGGAAGGGGTTTATAGGGAAATGGAGGCGAGAATATGTCGAGTGCGATCATACCAGCACTAGTGCACCGGATCCCATCAGAACTCCGCAGTTAAGCGTGCTCGGGCGAGAGTAGTACCAGGATGGGTGACCCCCTGGGATGTCCCCGTGTTGCACCCCTTTTTAGTCCGGTTTTGTATTTTTAATTTTAATTTTAATTTTAATTTTATTATTATGTATTTATTTATTTTCCGGCGAATGCGTCGGAAGGGCAATAGAACGGTAGCAGAAGGGGTTTATAGGGAAATGGAGGCGAGAATATGTCGGGTGCGTTCATACCAGCATTAATGCACCGGATCCCATCAGAACTCCGCAGTTAAGCGAGCTTGGGCGAGAGTAGTACTAAGATGGTTGCCCCCCTGGGAAGTCCTCGTGTTGCACCCCTTTTTAGTCCGGCTTTGTATTTTTAATTTTAATTTTAATTTTATTAATATGTATTTATTTATTTCTCGGCGAATGCTTCGGAAGGGCAATAGAACGGTAGCGGAAGGGGTTTATAGGGAAATGGAGGCGAGAATATGTCGGGTGTGATCATACCAGCACTAATGCACCGGATCCCATCAGAACTCCGCAGTTAAGCGTGCTTGGGTGAGAGTAGTAATAGGATTGGTGACCCCCTGGGAAGTCCTCGTGTTGCACCCCTTTTTAGACCGGTTTTGTATTTTTAATTTTAATTTTAATTTTATTAATATGTATTTATTTATTTCCCGGCGAATGCGTCGGAAGGGCAACAGAACGGTAGCGGAAGGGGTTTATAGGGAAATGGGGGCGAGAATATGTCGGGTGCGATCATACCAGCACTAATGCACTGGATCCCATCAGAACTCTGCAGTTAAGCGTGCTTGCGCGAGAGAAGTACTAGGATGGTGACCCTATGGGAAGTCCTCGTGTTGCACCCCTCTTTAGTCCGGTTTTGTATTTTTAATTTTAATTTTAATTTTACTAATATGTATTTATTTATTTCCCGGCGAATGCGTCGGAAGGGCAATAGAACGGTAGCGGAAGGGGTTTATAGGGAAATGGTGGCGAGAATATGTCGGGTGCGATCATACAGCACTAATGCACCGGATCCAATCAGAACTCCGCAGTTAAGCGTGCTTGGGGGAGAGTAGTAGTAGGATGGGTGACCCCCAGGGAAGTGCTCGTGTTGCACCCCTTTTTAGTCCGGTTTTGTATTTTAAATTTTAATTTTAATTTTATTAATATATATTTATTTATTTCTCGGCGAATGCGTCGGAAGGGCAACAGAACGGTAGCGGAAGGGGTTTATAGGGAAATGGAGGCGAGAATATGTCGGGTGCGATCATACCAGCACTAATGCTCCGGATCCCATCAGAACTCCGCAGTTAAGAGTGCTTAGGCGAGAGTAGTACTAGGATGGGTGACCCCTTGGGAAGTCCTCGTGTTGCACCTCTTTTAGTCCGGTTTTGTATTTTTATTCTTAATTTTAATTTTATTTATATGTTTTTATTTATTTCCCGGTGAATGCGTCGGAAGGGCAATAGAACGGTAGCGGATGGGGTTTATAGGGAAATGGAGGCGAGAATTTGTCGGGTGCGATCATACTAGCACTAGTGCACCGGATCCCATTAGAACTTCGTAGTTAAGCGTGCTTGGGCGAGAGTAGGACTAGGATGGGTGACCCCCTGGGAAGTTCTCATGTTGCACAACTTTTTAGTCCGGTTTTGTATTTTTAATTTTAATTTTAATTTTATTAATATGTATTTATTTATTTCCCGGCGAATGCGTCGGTAGGGCAATAGAACGGTAGCGGAAGGGGTTTATAGGGAAATGGAGGCGAAAATATGTCGGGTGCGATCGTACCAGCACTAATGCACCGGATCCCATCAGAACTCCGCAGTAAAGCGTGCTTGGGCGAGAGTAGTACTAGGATGGGTGACCCTCTGGGAAGTCCTCGTGTTGCACACCTTTTTAGTCCGGTTTTGTATTTTTAATTTTATTAATATGTATTTATTTATTTCCCTTCGAATGCGTCGGAAGGGCAATATAACGGTAGCAGAAGGGGTTTATAGGGAAATGGAGGCGAGAATATGTCGAGTGCGATCATACCAGCACTAGTGCACCGGATCCAATCAGAACTCCGCAGTTAAGCGTGCTTGGGAGAGAGTAGTACTAGGTTGGGTGACCCCCTGGGAAGTCTTCGTGTTGCACTACTTTTTAGTCCGGTTTTGTATTTTGAATTTGAATTTGAATTTTATTAATATGTATTTTTTTATTTCCCGGCGAATGCGTCGGAAGGGCAATAGAACGGTAGCGGAAGGGGTTTATAGGGAAATGGAGGCGAAAATTTGTTGGGTGAGATTATATCAACACTAATGCACCGGATCCCATTAGAACTCCGCAGTTAAGCATGCTTTGGCGAGAGTAGTACTAGGACGGGTGAGCCCCTGGGAAGTCCTCGTGTTGCACCCCTTTTTAGTCTGGTTTTGTATTTTCAATTTTAATTTTAATTTTATTAATATGTATTTATTTATTTCCCGGCGAATGCGTCGGAAGGGCAATAGAACGGTAGCGGAAGGGCTTTGTAGGGAAATGGAGGCGAGAATATGTCGGGTGCGATCATACCAACACTAATGCACCGGATCCCATCAGAACTCCGCAGTTAAGCATGCTTGGGCGAGAGTAGTAGTAGGATGAGTGACCCCCTGGGAAGTCCTCGTGTTGCACCCCTTTTTAGTCCGGTTTTGTATTTTTAATTTTAATTTTAATTTTATTAGTATGTATTTATTTATTTCCCGGCGAATGCGTCGGAAGGGCAACAGAACGGTAGCGGAATGGGTTTATAGGGAAATGGAGACGAGAATATGTCGGGTGCGATTATACCACACTAATGCACCGGATCCCTTCAGAACACGCTGTTAAGCGTGCTTGGGCGAGAGTAGTACAAGGATGGGTGACCCCCTGGGAAGTCCTCGTGTCGCACCCCTTTTTAGTCCGGTTTTGTGCTTTTAATTTTAATTTTGTAAATAAGTATTTATTTATTTCCCGGCGAATGCGTCGGAAGGGCAGTAGAATGGTAGCGGAAGGGGTTTATAGGGAAATGGAGGCGAGAATTTGTCGGGTGCGATCATACCCGCATTAATGCACCGGATCCCATCAGAACTCTGCAGTTAAGCGTGCTTGGGCGAGAGTAGTACAAGGATGGGTGACCCCCTGCGAAGTCATCGTGTTGCACCCCTTTTTAGTCCGGTTTTGTATTTTTAATTTTAATTTTAATTTTATCAATATGTATTTATTTATTTCCCGGCGAATGCGTTGGAAGGGCAATAGAACGGTAGCGGAAGGGGTTTATAGGGAAATGGAGGCGAGAATATGTCGGGTGCGATCATACCAGCACTAATGCACCGGATCCCATCAGAACTCCACAGTTAAGCGAGCTTGGGCGAGAGTAGTACTTGGACGGGTGACCCCCTGGGAAGTCCTCGCGTTGCACCCCTTTTTAGTCCGGTTTTGTATTTTTAATTTTAATTTTAATTTTAATTTTATTAATATGTATTTATTTATTTCCCAGCGAATGCGTTGGAAGGGCAACAGAACGGTAGCGGAAGGGGTTTATAGGGAAATGGAGGCGAGAATATGTCGGGTGCGATCATACCAGCACTAATGCTCCGGATCCCATCAGAACTCCGCAGTGAAGCATGCTTGGGTGAGTGTAGTACTAGGATGGGTGACCCCTTGGGAAGTCCTCGTGTTGCACCCCTTTTTAGTCCGGTTTTGTATTTTTAATTTTAATTTTAATTTTATTAATAAGTTTTTATTTATTTCCCGTCGAATGCGTCGGAAGGGCAATAGAACGGTAGCGGAAGGGGTTTATAGGGAAATGGAGGCGAGAATATGTCGGGTGGGATCATACCTGCACTAGTGCACCGGATCCCATCAGAACTCCGCAGTTAAGCGTGCTTTGGCGAGAGTAGTACTAGGATGGGTGACCCCCTTGGATGTCCCAGTGTTGCACCTCTTTTTAGTCCGGTTTTGTATTTTTAATTTTAATTTTAATTTTATTAATATGTATTTATTTATTTCCCGGCAAATGCGTCGGAAGGGCCATATAACGGTAGCGGATGGGGTTTATAGGGAAGTGGATTCGAGAATATGTCGGGTGCGATCATACCAGCACTAATACACCGGATCCCATCAGAACTCCGCAGTTAAGCGTGCTTGGGCGAGAGTAGTGCTAGGATGGGTGACCCCCTGGGAAGTCCTCGTGTTGCACACCTTTTTAGTCCGGTTTTGTATTTTTAATTTTAATTTTAATTTTATTAATATATATTTATTTATTTCCCGGCGAATGCGCCGGAAGGGCTATAGAACGGTAGCGGAATGGGTTTATAGGGAAATGGAGGCGAGAATATGTCGGGTGCGATCATACCAGCACTAGTGCACCGGATCCCATCTGAACTCCGTAGTTAAGCGTGCTTGGGCGAGAGTAGTACTAGGATGGGTGACCCCTTGGGAAGTCCTCGTGTTGCACCCCTTTTTAGTCCGGTTTTGTATTTTTAATTTTAATTTTAATTTTATTAATATGTATTTATTTATTTCCCGGCGAATGCGTCGGAAGGGCAATAGAACGGTAGCGGAAGGGGTTTATAGGGAAATGGAGGCGAAAATATGTCGGGTACTATCATACCAGCACTAATACACCGGATCCCATCAGAACTCCGCAGTTAAGCGTGCTTGGGCGAGAGTAGTACTAAGATGGGTGACCCCCTAGGAAGTCCTCGTGTTGCACCCCTTTTTAGTCCGGTTTTGTATTTTTAATTTTAATTTTAATTTTATTAATATATATTTATTTATTTACCGGCGAATGCGTCGGAAGGGCAATAGAACGGTAGTGGAAGGGGTTTATAGGGAAATGGAGGCGAGAATATATCGGGTGCGATCATACCAGCACTAATGCACCGGATCCCATCAGAACTCCGCAGTTAAGCGTGCTTGGGCGAGAGAAGTGCTAGGATGGGTGACCCCCTGGGAAGTCCTCGTGTTGCACCCCTTTTTAGTCCGGTTTTGTATTTTTAATTTTAATTTTAATTTTATTAATATGTTTTTATTTATGTCCTGGCGAATGCGTCTGAAGGGCATTAGAACGATAGCGGATGGGGTTTATAGGGAAATGGAGGCGAGAGTATGTCGGGTGCAATCATACCAGCAGTAGTGCACCGTATCCCATCAGAACTTCGCAGTTAAGCGTGCTTGGGTGAGAGTAGTACTAGGATGGGTGACCCCCTGGGAAGTCCTCGTGTTGCACCCCTTTTTAGTCCGGTTTTGTATTTTTAATTTTAATTTTAATTTTATTAATATGTATTTATTTATTTCCCGGCAAATGCGTTGGAAGGGCAGTAGAACGGTAGCGGAAGGGGTTTATTGGGAAATGGAGGCGAGAATATGTCGGGTGCGATCATACCAGCACTAATGCACCGGATCCCATCAGAACTCCGCAGTTAAGCGTGCTTGGGCGAGAGGGAAGTCCTCGTGTTGCACCCCTTTTTAGTCCGGTTTTGTATTTTTAATTTTAATTTTAATTTTATTAATTTGTATTTATTTATTTCCCGGCGAATGCGTCGGAAGGGCAGTAGAACGGTAGCGGAAGGGGTTTAATATTATAAATTAAAAGTTATCAATTAAAATAAATTATATTATTCTCGGAATTTTTGATGGCTATAACAACTAAAACAAGTTACCAATTAAAATAAAAGAGGAAGTTACCCATTAAAATAAAATAGAAAGTTCCCAATTAAAATAAATCATATTATATTCAAAAAATTTCAAGACTAAAACATTTAAGACAAGTTACCAACTAAAATAAATTAGGAAGTTACTAATTAAAATAAAATAAGTAATTATTTAATAATTATATATAGAAATGATAATACATGTATCATAGTTAGAAAATAATACATGTTCGGTAAAAATTCTTCTAATAATTTTAATTTTATAGTTTAGGAATTTTCTTAGATTTTGGGATTCTTAGAATTGTAGTTTCCGTCGTTTCTCGAAAGTATCTTTTTTTTGGGAACATGGTCAACCAGAAATTCTTATGTTTGCGATTCTTCATCCACCGATGCAGAAAATGCATCCGTTTTCCATTCTCATATAAGGCTAGAAAGTGGATTGGCAACAGGTCCAAGGTTTTGTTATTATCCTTGTCCTGGTCTAGTCCTTAACATAGGTTTCAATATCAGGATCTCGGATTATATCCCTATCAAACGATATAGACATGGAACTTGCATGTCCTGTCAACTAAAACAGTTGAACGATATGACGAATGTTTGTTTTATAAAGACACCACACGTCATCCTCATGCCTACTAATGTAAGAGCCACCCATGGAAGCATCAACCATGCCCAAAAATTGATGACCACTACACTGCCCAAGCTCATCTAACCGATTACAAGAATCCACTACTCGCACACTTATACTAAAAGTCAGCAAAAAGCTAACAGCAGGGGGGCACGAAGTGATTCATCATGCTCAAACATGAGCCGATTGTTCGTTGGGGACGGTAAAATAATATTTCACCACGCTGTGTGCTTTCTCCAAAACTACTTTTAATAATAAATATAATAATAAAACAATGCATGAGCAAGACATGAGCATGGCTTATATATAAGAGAGTATAGATTTTTTTAGAAACAAATAGATAAATAGTTAATTTGAATTTTATTTGGTAATTTTTAGAGTTTTTTTAATAATAGTATAGAGTTTTACAGAAAATAGATTTAGTAGGCAATTTGTAATTTGAATTTTATTAGGGTAATTTGAAAGTGGTGATTGATTTTATTTGGTAATTTTTAGAGTTTTATAGAAATTCTTTTCATACAAACTATTTTTATATTAATTAATAAATATTTTTTTAATATTTTGTGTTATAGAAAATAGATTTATTATGTAAATTTTAGAGTTTTATAGAAACTCTTTTTATAAACACTTTTTATAAAAACTCTTTTTATATGAATTAATTTTTTTTATAAATATTTTTTATATTTTATTTTGTTTTGAATTTTATTAGGTAATTTGTAATTTGAATTAAACTCTTTAAATAAATTTTTAGTTAATTTATTTTTTATAAAAACTCTTTTTATATCAATTAATAAATAAATATTGAAAGATTGAAACTTTTTGCATATTTAATAATATTATAGATATATTTTATAATTTTCATATTTAATTATCTTATTTATTGATATTTTTCTCAATTTTAATTTATTGATGTTGATTTCTTTAAAAGCATAAGGCAATACAATTCATTTTTTTTGAAGTATATAATTAAATAAATCTGATTTTCCAATTTTTCAGGTATATATTATATATGCTGCTAGCATAAACCTGATTTTAAATTTTGCAGGTGTGAAATATACAAGGAGGAGAATGGTGGTTATTGCAGGTGCAGCTGCACCTCCGACTTTTTGATAGCCGTAGTTTGGTTGGCAACGTTGGGCGGCTTTGGGTGCTTCTTAATATTAGCGATGGTGGCTTCTGCGATTGGTTGGGTGCAACGACTCATACAAAATATTAATGACATAAAGCATCACACCAATTCCTTTCCCAATCGAGATCTCTTTTTTTACCTTTTATCTCTTTTTTTGTTGGCTGTGGATGGTGCTTACAATAGCTTGGGTTTTTTTTCTCTTTTCTGGGGCAAATCCAAGGGCAGACACAACCAAGAGGCAAGCCAACTAGTATAATAAGTTTATGTTACTAATTTTATGGGATGATTGTATTTTATTTATTTTTTATTTTTTTTCTTGAACTCTAGCTCTCTCTATATGTAATATGCTAGATATCACAATTGACGAGTTTGACCTTCTATCAACTAGGCAATGTCTCCCATGACCTAAACTAAGTAGACCACACAACATAAGTTCAAGTATTTGTAGTGGGATCAGTGACAACAAATATTATTATGTATGGTGTGTTTTTGTGCGTGATTAGTGAAATTATAAATGATAGAAAAGATGATAGAGAGACAGAATTCGGAATCTTCGAATCAGGATTTGATTTCGTAAGAATTTTGCATCAATTTCTTGGACTTTTGCACTACACAAGGGCTTGTGGGATTTGATAAAATAATATGTCAGATGAGTTAGGTTGGGCAGGGCTGGATTATATTAAATAAAATAAAATGGTTCACAGGACTATATGTGTGGGTGTATATCTTAATAACATTAAAATGATTGAAGAAAGAGAAAAGGTTGAATGATTTTTTCTTATAAACAAGATTTTAGTAAAATCCACGTATATGTCCCCAAATCTTCACATAGTTTTTCCAAAAATAAAAAAATAATTAAAATAAAATAAAAACACAACAGCAGCATAGTACTATTACTATATAAAGTGGACAGTGGACAATATTTGCAAGTAAGGTATACAGTATAAGAAAAAATAAAAATAAAAAATGGGGTCCAATGAAACAGCTTTCACAATATTTATAAATAAAATAATAAAATAATTTACCAAATAATAAAATAAGTTATCAATTAAAATAAATTTGGTAATTGTTTAATTGAAATTAAATTAAGATGTTTCAATTCATTAAATAAATTACCAATTAAAATTAAATAGGCAATTGTTTAATTGAAATTAAATCAAATCATTTATAGATAAAATAATAAAATAATTTATAAAAGTCTAACACAAATTACCTATTTATCTACTATTTATTATGAGTTTTTCAATAAAATAAAATCTAATTAGACAAGAATT